AGTTCTTAATAAAATAATAATCGCTATTAATCTTAAATTTCTATTCTATTCTAAAGGACTAGTCGTCTTAGATAGAGTTACTATCGTCGATAAATAGAGGTAAATCTAAGATCTTAACTAATTTCTCTTTTAAATGTCTAGATGTGCGTTTCTCCTCGATCGATAATAATTATAAGTCTTTTATTAACTATATCTTAAGGCTATTAACTTTTCGCTATAGAAAAATTATATTCTTCTAAAAGTCTCGAGCTAGTTAATTTACCTTCTTAGTTATTTTGTGAGTTTAATATAAATCGTTTATAACTAGATTCTTTTCTATTACGGCGACGTAATATCGAGTAATAACCTCTTAAAAATCGTCTCGCTCTTAACGAATTTTATTTAATATAGTTATGAATTCGTCGAGTTAGTACTTAATCTAATATTATAGTTATAGACTATTAGCAATATTCTAAGGCGTATCTATTAAGTTTATCTTATTAGAGGTATTATCTAATAGAACTAATATTTATCGAAACTTGATTTACTCTAATAGAGTCTTAATTTAATTTATTCTTTTAATGTTGAACTTCGCTATAGAAAAGAAGAAAGAAAGATTTAAAATAAAGTGAAGAGAAGTTTAAATACTTCGAAAGAATGGATATTAGGGATATTAGATATACTAGAGAATAATAAAGCCTCTTTAAGACGTATCGAAATTATTCGATATTGAGAATAAAAAATTTCACTATAAAGCTTAAGATAAGGTTGTTTCTTTGCGGGGGTTTAATATACTTATTTCTTAATTGTTTAAGGCGTTAAGAAGACTGTAAGTACTTTAAATAGTAGTCTTTCGAGTGTATTTACTCCGCTTAAAGAATCTCTTATCTTATAGAGAAGTTATATATAAAAAAGTTTCGGAGAATAATATCTTTAATTGACTATAACTCGGTCGTTTCTTATCTGATTAAGGCTTCGTTAAAACTCTAGACATTATAGTATATAAAGTTACAAGTAATACTATTAGTATATATTTTAAATATAAAAATGTGAGATGATATTAGCTATTTCTTTCGATTCGCTAGCTATACGAATAGTTCAATACCTTCTTTATCTCTTAACTACTATTTACCAAGGCCGTTTCGCTATCCCTTTTAAACTCTTTAAAATCGATTTATCTATCTAATAGGCTTATTTAGAGATATAATAGCTTAACTTAATTTCTTATTAAAGCCCTTACTAGCGCGTTTCTTTGAATTCATTCGCTAATATAAATAAAATAAGTGAGTTAATCTTAGTTATAGTATTAGAACCGATATAGATATAATATTAATATAGATATATTAAATAAGATAACTAAGGTATCGAACTATATAGGTGGAAAGGAGGTATAATATAATAGAGGATGCCTTCGCTAAGGCCCGCTAGTTATAGAGCTAAGGGGTATATTAAGAATACGCTCGTAATAATTACTATTATAGCTATTACTATTATAGTTATTACTATTATAACTATTACTATTATAACTATAACTTATTATTATAGCTACTATCGAAATATGGCTCTCGCGCATTTCAGCCACCGTATTCTTCAGTTATCTAATTTTATACTATATTTAGAACCTAGTCTCGAAGAGGTTTTAAAGAATTAATTCGTTCGTTCTATACATTATATATCTAATATTTTAACAGCTATTACTATTATAACTATTACTATTTATTATTTAAATAGTTTACTATTATATAATAGCTATAATAGTAGTAATTATAGTAGTAGTAGTTATAATAGAGATAATTATAATAGAAGTAATTATAATAGAGGTAATTATAATAGAGGCGGTTATGATAGAGGCGATTATGATAGAGGCGATTATAATTAAGATAGCTATGGTTGAGACAGCCATAGTTAACTAGAATAATGACTAGAATAGCTACTTATACTTCTAAATATAGAAATCTCAACGGGATATTCTATATATATACCATTTCATAATATAATATCATAGATATACTATATCGTAAAATATCCCGCTAAGATTTCGAATCCATATTAGAAAAATGAAATAGTATTCGACTCTATTTATACTATAGTCTTAGTAATTCAGACTTACGACTAGCCGAAATACCTATGGCCAGCTCTATACTCGTACCTCGCTTCGAGAGTCAATTATATCGCAAGCTCATTACGATATACCCCTTCCTTAGAGTCTAAGTAGAAAACCCCCGAATCGCTATATAGATCGTTAATTTGTATAGGCCTACCGCAATAATCACCCCGTTATCGAGAAATCGCGACTTTCTTTATTTTTTCAGTTATTATTATATTATCTTTTAATATTAATTAAGAGGGTAATAGGCCTTTCGAGGTTGCTAAATAAATATATAAACTTTTTATTATAATCGGATAGCTCGTTGTTATCGTATAAGCTTATTCGAATACGCGTTCTTTATTAACGATTATAATATTTATTTTTAGTTAATTATTCTTCGATAATTAAATTTTAGATGATAGCGTATTATATTTAATATTATTAAAAGATTATATAACGAGTCGAGTATAATAATTAAATTATAAGTTTAATCGTATTACTATTTAATAGAAATCGAGTATTAAAGCTATCCCCTCTATATATATATCTATTAACTCGAAGATATATTACTTAGAAGTTAAAGGGAGTATAAAATATATATCTTAAATAATTTTAACGCGCTTAACGTGTTTAAAACGAACTTAGGTGAATAAGGAAATTATAAGAGACGCTTAGATACGTAATTTTCTCTCCGACGACGATAGCGAGATATTTTCAAACTATATATACTAACCTCTTTATAGCTTATAAATATATCCTTCCTTCTAATAAATACGAAGTTTTAAGATATTTAGCGGACCAATTCTAGAGTAAAGAAAAAAAGTTATATATTTGGTTCCCGGATAATAGGGAGGAGAACACCACCAAGCGACATTCGATCAGCTCGTTTATAACGACGACGTAGACCTTCCTACATTCAAAGACGTCTTTTTCTACATTTCATATACCCATAAGAGACTCCGACGTCGTGCGAGATATTCTCATTCATCGATGTCGCCGCCACCAATATCTGACTTCACACCAAAAGGATGAATTATCTCCGCTTCGCTCTCCGCTCTGCTCTCCGCAAGTTCGGTAGCTATACAATTGCTTGCATGCATGCATACATGCTTGCTTGTTTGTTTGCACCCATCGCCGGCCGTCCAAAAAATGGGGGGAGACTGCGGCGTCTGACCGAAGTAATAAACTGACTGGTGAGGCCACGGCATTTTCCCCGACACGTCGTGCCGTCGGTCCGGCGAGTACCATAGCGGTTACCCCGAGGATTAATGTATTATAAGAGAATTTCTGTATGGTGCTGCGCGTCTGTTGAGACGTACGGCGTTCTTAAGTATTAGTACCGCTGCTATGGCTGAGTTAGCTGAGTTTTTTAGTGGAATGAAATTAAAAGCTTACTTCTTAATTACTGCATTATAGCTCCTAATTTGACGAGGGTCTATTTGACTATTTATTCGACTTTTTTTAAGAATTCCAAAAAAGGTCATATTACGTAGTTACGTATTTTTATTAAGAATCGTATGTACGCAGGGTGTGAATATTACATATCGGGCGATATACCAAAAAATTAAGTCTTGGCAGAGTTTTCTACTCAGACCCACCTTAAGGTCGATGGGGCCAAGCTGAGACTATTTATACTATATTCGAGTACGATATAATATTACTTAATATGAAATATTCTATAAAATATACTATATCTTTTCGATTAGTATTATTAACTCGAAATTTTCGTAATAATTCTATTATAATTAACTCGAAATATTTAAGACTTTAAAATATAATTCGAAATTTTCATAATAGTTCTATAATTAATTAAAAATAATCTTAAAAATACTTTAAAATTTTCGAGATCTATAAAGTATTATTAAATATTAAATATTTAATATTTATAAATTATTTAAATCTTACGCGAAAATTTCGTAATTATAATATAAGCGCGGTTACTAGACTTTTTCGAAGGCTAACTAAGCGAATATTCCTCGTCCCGCGCCTAAACGATTATCAACTTACGGGAATTACTTTAAGATCGATAGAGGGGTTTTACTAATTATACCTGAAGAGTCTTAGTAGAATTATAGACGGGGAATATTTCGACTCGCATTAATAAGGCTTAGGGTATAAGTAGCTATAGTATAAAATAATATCGTATTTTATAGAGATTCTAGAAGTATTTTTAAAAATTAGAAGAATTTTCGCTTAGAATATTTCTAAATTAGAAGATCTTCTTAGTTCTATTACTAATAACTAAGTCGTATTTTATACTTTAACGTAATACTACTTTATAGCCTATATCTTATCTTATTATACCTTATCCCATTACACTTCATCTTAGCACATTCTATTACTTCTTACTACCCCTATAAGACCTTAAGAATATTACCCCTACGAGAACTTTGACTAAATCGCTTAAATTTGATATTAGAAATTAAAAAGCGTAGATATAATTTACAGTAGCCAGATCCCGAAAACGAGGCTTAGTATTTATATTTACGGAAATAATTATAGAAGACTCACTTTCTCAGAAGACTCCCGGGAGGAATCTTAAACCACGATATTTGTCAGGACCAGCATAGGTGCGATACCAGTATGGGTGAGGTAGAACGAGGATAATAAGGCTACCGAACTATGTAGGTGGGAAGGAGGCATGATATAGTAGGAGATGCCTCCGCCAAGGCACTAGGCCATAGGGCTGAGTGGTGTGTCAAGGGTACGCTCGTAACAATATTATGAGATTGAAAAATAATTGATAGAAAAAGATTCTTCAAGAGGATTTCAGGTTAGATACGTTGAATCTTGTAATAAATCTTTATTTATAAATGATACTTATGGTATTCTTGTTACCTAACTAGCCTACATAGACCATTACGAAAAACCCCCTGCCGACCTTAATGTACCATTCAGTGGATCTTACTTGTACCTTAATTATGCGCTAGCGCTACCGCTCACGTGATCTCGTCCAGTTCCGACTCGTCTTCCTCCTCTTACCATTCTCACCATCCATCTCCTCGTCCGCCACAACTCCGACGCCAGCCTCCGGGGGTGGCAAGATATTCTCTCCCCTTTTCAACATTTCCACCTTTGCTTGGGTCATCTCGAACACATACTGCCCCAGATGCTCTACTCCCTCCATCTCTGTACCTTCCACCTCGTCCGTCAAGAATCTGCTTGCTGGGAAGATTTCACTAGTCGTGAGCATCAACTTCTCCGGGCGTTCCAGAGGTAGCTTGAAAGCTTGTGTTAGTTCGGGGGATGATTCGAAGATACTGCGGCGACCGAGTATGTAGAGGCCCAGTCGAGCGCGGGAGAGAGCGACAGTGAGGCGGCGAATGTCGCGGAGGTAGCCAGGACTGCGGGTACGAGTCAAAGAGAGGATGATATCTAGAAGATGTTAGTCATGCCTGCTCAAGCTAGAGAGTGAAACAAGGGGAACGCTTACAATCATTTTGCTCTCCTTGGTACTTATCCACAGTGGTCACGATCCTCGGCAAGCCAAATAGCCTGTTCCCCTTGCATCGGTGGGCCAGAACATCCCTTATCAAGGCCTTCTGCCCAGCATAGGTCGTCAGTATCGATACCTCGCTTGCTGCATATCCCAGCAAGCGCATATACTGATATATCGCCACCGCATACTCCGCCTCACCCAGGTTTTGGAAGAAATGTGGCGACGGTTGTGACTCGCCTGCGCCTTTGTAGTCGGGGACGTCAATGAACTGGTATTCATATTCGAAGCCAGCATTGGCGCGGAGGTATTCAGGTTCTATGAGGACGTTGGGGAGGTGGTCGAGAGATGGGTAGCGCCATTTGTAAAGCTTTGCTATGCTAGGTCTTGCACGACCTTGGTGATCAAGAGTGATGGTAGGAACGCCGAGACGTACGAGGCGAAGGAAGAGCGATTGCTCTAGGTTGGCAAACTGCCGGAATGCCATATTCTGGATGATTGGGGAGTTTTGAAGGTGATCGCCGCAGAGGACAATTCGTTGGAGAGGTAATTCGCCATCCTTGGAATTTTGAAGGGCTAGAGGGATGAAATTCTCGATCTCGGTGATTTGAGCTGCTTCTTCCATAACTATGTTGTCATAGTGGAAGCCTAAATCTGCTATTTCTTGTCGACGCATGGCGGCATGGGTGCTCGTCATTGCGATGATACGCGCTTCTTTTACCATGAGGTAATTGGTTTTGTCACGGTTATTGCGGAGTATCTCGAAAGGGCGTATGTCTTCGAGAGACGTGAAGACTTTAGAGACATGATGTTCACATCCACGGACTATCTCTACGACCTCATCCTTAGTGGCTTCAGAAGAGAACAGTGGCTGAGGAGCGTTTTGAAAGTAGTGATGGAAAGGGAAGGACGAGATGATATCTCCGGCGCTTGAGTCCGTATTCTTAGCTCTGTCCCAGAACTTCGCCCAAGCGGGCAGCACATAGACCAGGTTGAAGTAGCCGGCAGTTTCGCAGGTACTGCCATGAGCACCGGGAGCACCGAAATTGGCGGCAAGCCGATCGACTTCGTTAAGTAGCTGGGCTCTGTTGTCAAGGAAAGATTCTACTCGACCGTACTTGCTGAAGCTCTCTGCTGTCTCCAAGTCTCCTTCTCCCTGACCTAGCCGAAGCAAATGCCGTCCGTCGATGTCGAGCTTCACTATCTTCTGGAAAAGTTGATTCAGTGCCTGATTACTGTGTGCTATCAGTAGGGTTCGTTGTGAGGGAAAGTCGTGATAGATGTTGTTGATGATTTGAGTGGCCACGTCCGTTTTGCCCGTCCCCGGAGGGCCTACTATAACTGTCAGACCTGGTTGAGTGCCTGAGGTAATCGCCTCGACCTGGACCGGAGTGAAGCGGACACTGTTATGTCTCGGTGCATCGCTTGGATACGGTCCGCTGGCAAGTGGCCGATATGTGGATACCTTGACAGACTGTGAAGCCTGCTGCACAGGCTCGGCATCGTCACGTCGACGCTTTTTCGAGGATCTAGGTTGAACAGCAGTGGCTGAGATTGTAGAGTGTCGGAGGACGTATGGAGGCGAAAAGCTCTTAAGCTTCTTGTCTTCAGATTCAACAGTCTGCAGGATGCATTAGCGACTGAAACGGCCGACAGAATCGCAATAGCTTTACCTTGCCCGGAAAGCTATCCAAAAGGTGCTGCCAGTCAACAAAAGTGTCGCGGAAATCGATTGCCTCGAGCTGATTTGAAAGCCGAGCATAGGTTGCCGAGGCAGGATCGCCATATCCCAGGAACACTTCCTGCAGCCACGCAGGAACAGGCACATCAGATAGTGCAAGGCTTCGTATAGTCTCCAATATCTTCTTGAAATTATTCTCGCGCTGATTCCGTCGAACAATGACATTGAGAGACTCATAGACATCCGGTCTTCCTTTCTCTTTAAGCTCGAGATCCACCTTGAAAGCTGACGGGTCCAGGTTGACGATTAGCCTCCTAATGCGTGGTCTACTCCCATAGTCGTTCATTTGGTCAGGTCTTGGCTCTCTTATAGACCGGCCATTCTCATCGAGCAACTGCACAACCTCTGCGGTTCGAAGAGCGAGGAGTCCAGACGCTTCCTCACCACTTTGCTTTGAATGGCCGTTCGTCAAGTTGAGTGAAGCTTCGGTGGATTCGATTGTGAGTAAGTAGATAACGTCGCCTTGTCGCAAAGCGTCCCAGTCGTGTCGAACGGTATCGGCCAACTTGCTCACGTTGAGAGTTATTTCAGCTCTGACGTACGCTGGTTGGTCATGCCCAACCTTCGCTGGCGCAGCTTCCAATATCCTATTAGGCAATCAACACATGGTCAAAGGCGGAAACCTATATTGATGCACTTACGCAGGCTTTGTGATAGGAAGGGCCATTTTCGAAAAGCCGTCGAAGTGGACCCCGCCAGCTGAACCAGTCCCTCTTGGTTGTAGTCTTTTGATGGTATCCTCGAGATACTTCCTGATCTCGAAGAACTGCTCGCATCGATAGAGAATAAAAGAGCGCCACAGGAAGTCCCCAACACTGAGATACTGAAGATTTAATTTAGGTATCGCTAGAGCCCTTGATCCATTATAGGCTTCATTGCGTAGGAGTGAAGGCTCGTAAAGCTCTGTCTCTGTTGGCTGTGTACTCAGATCTCTCACCGTCTCTTGGAAAGTCTTTCTTCTCTCATGTGCGGATAGTACAATCTCCATCAGGAGCTCTCGATTCACTTGTACATCTGCTGCGGATGGGTATGCCGTCCGAAACCCTAATAGTAGGCACAGTTCTTCCAGCTCGGCATCCACCAACGGGGTTAAGAGCTCTTCCAACTCCTTTCTTTGATCGATAGCCCCATAATTCGAGAGAGCAAGTACTGTCAGCTTCTCCTTGAAGTGCCTGAGCGCAGTCCTTTGTAGCCGGGACAGGTTCTCACAGTGCCTCTCATATGACTGAGCTTCGGAGTGCTGTGAGCCTGTATTATCATCGACGGGGAAATCCGCAAAATGACGGAAGAGAGCGAACAAGTCACGCAGGAGACCGTTGTCTGGAGTGTTAAACATTGGGGATATTCTGATCAGAGCTAGGAGATTCAGATCTTTGACCAGAGTATTGACATATCTCCTCGTAGGCAACTGACTCTCGAGATCAGTCAAGAACTCGAGGAACCTCTCGCAGTATACCAGATCGCCTGGCAAGCTGTCAGCAAATGTATTAGGTGGCATCATATTAACACACCTTCGCTCGCTCCATACAAACGACCTACAAAGTCAAGCAGAAGAGTGTAGAGCCATGAGCGTTCAAACCGTAACCTTGCCTTTGCTCCTTCGTCTGCAGCTTCGTATTTTTTGGCAGCAGCCCTCCACGCTTTTCGAAGTTGGCCATGCTCCTCAAATTTCCGCTCTCGAGCTGCTTCTGAGGCAAGATTATGCCATATAGATATTGACACCAACGGCGCACATTCCTTGCGTAAGAGACCATTGTCTAGTGATTGAAAAGCGCTGAGGAGGTAGGAGAGTAAGTGGGTGCGAACGGGCGCCGACAGAGTTGGATCAAGGGTCATTGATAGAACACGGCGGAAGAAGGAGGAGAAGCGTTCAGCATCATCGGCGAAGGCATCTCGAAATCATTAGCCATTTCCTTTTCCATTCACCAACAAGACTGGGCTGCATACTCCATATGGGAAGATTCTCTCTGCTCTTCACGGTGACGAGGAGGGCAATCAGAAGCACGTGGTGATTTGTTGAGGCTTCAGTGTAGCCAGGCCATAGATAGCTAAGCAACAGTCAGTAATCACTGCTTATAGTTGGAAGGCTCGTGTACTTCTCCAGCAGCTGCAAATTTTCGAGCATGAGCAGACTCCGAAAATGGAAAGCCTCCTGTTCTAGTACATCCCAGATCTCTTTCTTGATTACTTCTGGTTTTAATTTCTTCGACTTGGCAGCTTTCGGCCAATGCTTCTTTGCGAGCTGAGCCCAATGATTGTCGCTCTCAAGATCTCCGACACTCGGCTGGTCTCCACCTCTCCACGCGCTCGCTTCCGTCATACCGCTGCTCGACTTCGCGGATTGGCTAAAGGTACACAGCCAAACGCAATTGACTGGAGCGTTCTAATTGGTGATGGAGTCTATGCATCTTTTGAAACATTGCGCCAGCCGAAGTCCTAGATGGTCGCGTTTTGTTCAGTATTGAAAAGCTACAATATTACACTCTTGTCGCGTGGGAATCTTGAACTTTTGCCATAGGGCTGAAAAGAGATTACGGTTAGCGGTTTCATAATCCTCCCGCAGAGCCTCGCTCAGGAACAATTGGTTGCTGCCAGTGCTCCCATCAACTTCACTTTGTTCACAAGAATGAGATTTTCATGACAACGTCTTCAGCCACGCACTCGCGTGAGCTGTCCAAAATGTCTAGTGCCGGAATCAGCTCCGTTCACAATTTTACCACTGCGATAAGGGGACTCCTGGCCAAAGCGCAGAAAGTCAAGCCTGACGGAGGTGTTGAGCCAGCATTAACGACTCAGGAACTCGAAGGTGGTGTTGACAAAATCGGCAAACACAAGGGAGCAACCAATAAGGATTATGCAGCCATAGAGACTGCATGTCGTAACATCTTCTACGCTTTACTGGTGAGGCTATAAAGAAATAGCAATTTAAGTCGATAGCTAAGAAATCAAGGCATCGACATCAATTGAGGGACCTCCGTTTGGTGAAGTGTGGAATCTTCTGGATATCATCTCCATCCTCTCCGATCTAGGTTGGTCTGATGAAGAAGATTATTCCGGACACAATGGCTAATGGTCCGCAGAGATCTGTGAACCCAGCTTGCTCTTCTGGCTCGTCGAAGAGCTGCTCGACACACAGACCATCGATGGTTGCAGGATCGTCTTCGACTACCTTGATTCTCGACGAGAACGAATCACTGCGAAACACTTCAAGGCGAAGAACCTCATCATACTACGCGCGTGCAACGAGCTATTACGTCGACTTTCACGAGCTGAGGACACGGTGTTCTGCGGAAGAGTGTTCATATTTCTTTTTCAAAGCTTCCCGCTAGGAGACAGGAGCTCGGTCAATCTGAGGGGAGAATACCACGTCGAGAATGTTACGGTTTTTGAAAATTTTCCGCCAAAGGCCGAGTCGAATCTTGACGATGGCATGGAGGTTGATCAGAACGAGGAAAGAACAGAAACGGAACAAATTGCAGGCAAGACTGAGGCTGCAATGGAGCAGGCTAAGGCTGCTCTAGAGCACCCAGCAAATTCATCGAAAGCCGTCAAATCCGATGCAGAGGACGAGGAAGCAAGAGAAAAGCCGGCGGACATGGACACGCTATACCCTATATTCTGGTCTTTGCAGGAGGATTTTTCAACTCCAACAAGACTGTTCGATGATATCAACCTTGAAAACTTTCGAAAGGGATTGTCAATCACGCTGGTCAAATTCAAAGAAGTGCAGCAGGATCTCCAGGCAAGAGGCATATCAAAGCTCCACGATGATGGCAAGCGGGGCGTGAAGAGAAAACGCAACGGCCAGGAAGACGAATTGTCAAGTAGCTTCAATCCTAAGTACTTGACCAGTCGAGACCTGTTCGACCTAGAGGTACAACTACGTGTTTAATTGCATCACGGTTCACATCCGCTGAATTTATACAGATCAGCGATCTTGCTTTCCGGCGCCATGTCCTTGTCCAGGCTTTGATTCTGATCGACTTCCTCCTTTCGCTTACCACAAAGGCCAAGAGGAAGCTCGAACACACATCCAACAAATCGGTACTCTATACGTACGCCTTGAGCGAAGATAACGTATGTGGCATCTTCAAACTACCAAAACTCCACACGCTAATCGTCGAACCCAGGCAAAATGGGCGACAGGCATGAGAAGCGAGATAGCTACCTATTTACAACAAGGCCCAGAAGGCAAATTTTACTATCGCATGGTGGATACTGTCTTGTCAAGAGACAAGAATTGGGTGCACTGGAAAGCGGAGGGTTGCCCGCCCATACAGCGTGATCCAGTTTCTGCTGAAGAGTTCTCGGAGGCGGAAAAAGGTACGCAGAAAGCATGTGCCAATAAGAGGCTCAGAGCGACTCCCATGGGATCACTAGACCTCAAGTTTCTTTTGGACGGAGGCGACACCGATGGCATGGAGAAGCTGAAGGACCCGGAAAGGTAAGAACATGGTCGCCGTATTCTGATGATCTCGCTCAATCAGTCGCAGGTACACATTACCCACAGCAGAGTCGTTCAGAGGGCCAATTGCGGAAGACGACTTTGACATCGAGATGGCGAAAACAGGTGAAGAGAAGCAGCAGGCAACAGATGCAAGGGCAAGCAAGCTGTGGAGGACGCTCCGCATCGCATCGAAGAGCAGACTCAACCTTTTCGACAGAATAGATGACGGTAATAATCTTCAAGCTCTTTTCCAGCCAGAAGAGGAAGAGAGCAAGGAGCAGACGGAGGTCGATGGGACAGAGCAGACTTCTGATCAGCCTACCAAGGAATCTATTTCGAATGGCACAGAGCAGAAGATGGTGGACGTGAATGGAGTGGAGGCGCTGTTGGAGATGACAGCCAAATAGAGGAATGTCCAAACAGATACCCAAAAGTCAGGCGGTTCGATACGAACGTACACGTTCTATAGGGACTGACGCGTGGCCCCTCATGTATTCGTAGTATTAGCGCTCTGACGGCAGATTGAGCTGCGATCGATATAAGAACATACTCGGTCTGCAATATGAGGCTGCTTGTTCATATACTCTCATCCTCTGCAATGTTTTTTGATTGCTTCACATCTTCTTTGCATCCGCCAAATTCGTTTTCTGTCGCATCGAGGAATCGAAAGGTCGTCGGTTCCCTACACCAATTTTGCACTTCCCCCTAGTGCCCTTTGCTCATCATTTGCTCACACGTACCCCGGCAAGTTTAGAGACGGCGGTGTTGAAACTCGAGTTTCACAGGTCATCGAGATGCAACTCAGGCTCACCATGTCCAGTCTGAAAATGCTGAAGTCATTCGTCCCAATCTCCAATTGCACCTGGTCGGTCATTGATTGCCTTGTATTATTCCCGACTGCTGTGAGACATAGCGCCCTTTTTGGTTTAGCGGAAAGAACCGACCTACTTCCCCCAATCCAATAACAGCAGTTGAGTCCGGTCCGCTGCAGCTCATGTCGGGTGACTTCATTATTCCATTCCACGATCTTTGTCAAGAGTATGAGTCTAATCTACGACCGTAAGACTTTACGGTCCGAAAAACTGCATCATGCAATGCCCAGGGGTTGCAGGGGTGCGAGAAGCCTGGGAGCAGGCCGCAAAAGCAGCCCCGAAACAATCTAACAGACCCTAAGTCGATGGCCTACCCAGCCGCACAGAAAGAAAGCATGCTGCATGCGAAGCTCGGATCGTTTTGCATTGCATTTGCCATTCTCTCATTGTCGAATCAAGATGATGGAAGCTTGTCTGGATCTAGAGCCTCGCATAAATGGTGCGTCAATTCCTCTTGACGTGCGGAGTAGCCTCCCACTTACTCGCACTCTAATTACGGCAGCTCCCTTGGCTGGGGGACGCCGGTTACGTGCTAACCGGCATGATGTGCAGTGCCACAGATTCATCAAGCACCGCTGCCACGCAATAGTGAATTCTCCACGTGTCAAGCGGTCAGAGCCTCAGGATGGATGCAATTACAGACTACAACCACCTCCAAGGCTCCAATTACGCCTAGCCACATCTCCCTGTCAGATGTCCTATCATCTTCGAACATACGCCTTGCCTGGGCCCCAGTCACATCACCTTGTACATTATTGCCTTTGCCTCTTACTCATGATGGTCGAACTTGTGAATGATCAATCCACGCTGAACGTGAGTCCGCAAATTGGGCGATCACACTTAGTCTCGGAATCATCGGTGAGCTGAACCCACTTGATTCATGCCGAAAGGTTGTGGAGGTTCATGACTTCAATATGGTCAACTAACGCTTGCACTGCCAGCTCGTCCAACACAATAATTCCCACCTGACGGGCCACAGGCGTGAAGAGGGGATGGAATTCTTCGAATTCTCATTCTGGCTAGCGAATACGACATCTGAGTCAAGCAATCCGTCGCAATACTTTTCCACTACCAGGATAAAAACGCAAGTGCCCGTTCGCCTCCTGGTCCATGCCGGAAAGGACCCGGAACTTGCTACCTTATGTTTCACGGAATTTGGGTCGGATCATTGACCCATTGACGAGATGAGACAGTCCTTGTCATTTGGGGACTAAAGAACCAAGAAAGCTTACTGCGAGCTTTGCCATGATCGAAATTTGATTCTTCAGTGTTTGGTGCAGTAGACAGAAGCCGCTCGAATCAACCCTGCTGTCTTCTTCCCTTCTGAGTGCCTCAACTAGAATGGAGTCGCGAGCTAAAACTTAGCAGATACCGCACGGCGATTGGCCCGAGATAATGTGCAAGGAACCGCCATCGTCAATTCTGTTACTCATCGAAAGCCTACGACGGGTAGAGGCTCCTTGGTTGTCCGTCAATCTTGTGTAAGAATGACTCTCTTGGTGAGACGCATGTTTCTGCCCTGCGCGTGTTTGGTCGCTTTTCACAGGGTTCTTGCTGCGAAATACTTTGCAACACACATTCGGCAAAATTACCTAATCATCTATCTAAGACGTCAAAGACGTCTTGAAAACTTTCTCTGAAAGATTCAATTTCTCTTCAACTTCGAGAGAGTAGGCGTGGTCCATGGAAAGAAGTGCGCGTGGGTGTTCTTAATTTTGCTGCCGTGTCCCGTGGCCGGCCTACACACCATCACTCTGTCGAGCGGTGAATTGGGTAACGGTCAGCCTGGCCGCAGCAAAATCTTCGACTTGCATTCGGATATAGTTATTGAGAGGAGCGTGGGCCCCGCGCGCCACTTGGGCGGCTACAGCGCAGTTGCGAAACTTGGGGCTCTTCTCCAACAGGGGTATAAACAAATCCAACACGCTGTACCACTCTCAGGTTCCTTGCATCGTTCAATCCTATGTTTAGTGTCCTACTTCAAGGCTCTCACAGCTTATA